CCACCAAATTCAGGTTTATGCCCCCAGATCTCCTCAACGTAACTTCTAAAGTGCCAACTTCAGTGAGATGTGAACTGTCCCGTTTCAAACTTACTGCAGTTTTGTCTCCAGCAAGTTCAGTTTCTGTCGGTCAACATAACGAGAGAAGAGGGACACTAGGTTTGTGGGGATAGAGATTGGCTTGGCCAGGGCTGCCTGGGGAATCCGCAGAAGTTCTCGGGTTGCCATGAACATCACCTCCGTCCTAACAGGGAAAACCGACAACAACGCAGTAAGAAAAAACAAAAAAACAAAAAAACGAAAAGATTACCCAACACAACTTAAAATAAAAGAAGAAACACAGCCCAGACTGACCACTGGTTGCTCTGCGTTGATTCTGTCGTGGGGTCTGAACTCTGCAGGTCTTCCCCGCGGCTCAGGACGACAAGGAGCAGCGACAGGCCGAACTGTGGGAGGAGACAGGGGGCATCAGACAATACTCATCTCATCCCGCCCCACGCGGAGGGTCCCAGCGTTGGACGGGATACGGCACAGAATCAGAATAACCCCACAGCTGTGCTCTCCCACGAAACCGGGCAGGATCAGACACCCGTGAGCCGAGGCCAGGGCTGTTGCCGGCACAGCAGCAGCAAGCATGCTCAGTGGGAATGGGAGGCCCCCACGCCCAGCCGGCCTCTGCTCCCCACCCACTGGAAGGAAAAGATAACTTTTCCCTGCCATGGATAGTGCGGGATTCCCATTTACTAGAACAGAAATGGATTAAATAGGAAAGTTAAATGAAGACAAACTCTGATACAGAAAATTAAAGTTCATAGAAAAAATAAACACTAAATAAAGAGTTTAAATTAAGAAAAAAGGTGTTAAGATCTGTGGGAAAATGTACAAAAACAGTAACGAGTGATCAGGGTACAAAGAAAATTTCCTTAAAGAAGGACACACCTATCTGGAAATACAGGCTCAGAAAGTATGTTAATAAGAGTCTAAAGGAAAAGAAAGAGAGGAAGGATAAAGATATACCCACCATATCTAGGATTATTAAAATTTAGCAACATGCCGTACAGACTAAGACACGTAAAGATTTATTTTACTCAGTGGGGAGGAACAGCAGAAAACACGTGGCCTAAAGGGGCACAGGATGCAAACACAAACGGGCAAGAACCAGGTTCAGTGCATACATCACAGCTACAGCGGACCACAAGGAGAAGCTGGGGGCATTCGGGGATTCCACTCCTCCTCACCGAGAGCACCTCGCAGAGGCTGACCTTGCCTTTCCACCAAAGTGCCCTTCATGTCACTGTCCGAAAGATAACCAGCTACAGAATCTTGTCTGACTTCATGCTCGTCCACTGCCTTTACCAAAACTGAAGCTAAGAGACCACATACCACGGAAAGCACATAACTAATCACCCCAGAACCCCCGTCTTCTGTCCCCTCTCTCTGCCTCTGATGTACTTCCCGCCCTTTAGGGCCATGCTGACAGGTTTTCAGTTGCAAGAGGAGAGGCCCTGGGTCTATGCTGTCATCTACTGCAACAGGCGGCCCTTAACGATGCCCACTCTGTAGCAGCCATTACACTGAACCATTCACAACCGTTCTCTCATTTAAGTAACAGGACAATCTGAAGTTGACATCATCACCTCCACCTTATAGATCAGGGAACTGTGGCTCAGCAAAGTGAAATAACCCACTCAGGGTCACAAACGTAGAATGTGGCAGATAAGGAGTAGAAACCTGCTCTGTCTTAAAAGCTCATGTTCTTTATTCCATATTATGCTTTCCCCGGGTTTCTGGATTTTTAACCTGCTATAAATGAAACATGATATGGGATGTTCTATTGTGATTGAAATAAAATATGAATGTAATATGAAATGGGATATCTTATGACAGGGACCACTAATTACCTAATATGCTTTCTTCTTCGTATTAGATCTGATTTTACTTGTGGTAACACTGGTGTGAACTAAAAGATGTTTTCCAGCCTCCTTGCAGTTAGCTGTGGCATGTGACTAAGACCTGGCCATTGAGATTAAGTGGAAGTTGGTGGTTAGAGCACCTGGAAAAGGTCCAAATAGGGAGGACGGGAGGGTCCTTACACCTTCTGGCCCTCTGCACACGCCTGTCTTTCTGATGCAAAGTGGAGCCTTGAATTCCACCACCACCCTGGGCCTGAGAGGTCGTGAGCCTGCAGCCACTGCTGGATGGCGGAGAAGGGAAACTGAAGGAGCTGCAACCCTGACACCGTGGAGTCACGATACCAGACTTGTTCCACATGAGGCACAGGACATTCTATTTTGTTGAAACCACTGTTATTTCTAGCCTGTGTCACCGTGAGCTTAACGTAACTCCTAACTGAAAGAAACGTTTTTTTTTTTTTGTTTAAACAATTGCCACAGCAGCCATTATTTTCACACATAATTCATACTTAGAAGCCGCGCCAAGCTCAGGGAGTTAAAAGGCAAGCCCACCTTGTTCTGGAGCACAGCAGTGAGGTGAGGATTGGAGGGCGCTGGTGCAGCTGCACTCTGAGGTAGGTTCATTAGCTGTTGCAGAAGGCTGGTGACGGTCACTGACGGAAGATGATAGAGGAGGAGGGAGAAGGGACTCAATAAGCATGGCAGCACCTACAAAAAAAGCAGCAGCAAGCATCACAGCCTGGCAACGATCCCCTCGGTCCCCTCCATCCACGGGCACAGGGGGAGGGATGCTCGGCTGCACACTCTGCTGCCCGCGGCAAGGCTGCACGAGGAAGGGCAGACAAGTCCTGCAGACACTACTAGTGTCTTATCAACGGACTCACGGCATCTGCGGAGAACTATTCCAACTCAATTTGCACAGGAAACGTCATGACTTGTGTGAACGAAGGATGGAGAGTGTAAAATCACTTCCCCAATACAGCCAGGTGGATGGTAAGACATCTGTATTCATCCCACAAATATTTAAATGCCTGCCATGTACCAGGCACCGTGGGCTAAAAATAAATGGTAAACAGGACAGACCCTGGGGGGTCTAAAGTACAGTGGAGGGGCAACAAGTAAACTGCAACTTTGATATATCGTGAGGAGCACTCCAACACAGGTCCATTCTGAGTGCTACAGAGTCGGAGAAGTGTCTTCAGACTTAATTGTATCTTGTTTTACCTTTATAAAAACTCAGTGAGGAAATAGAGAAATGATTAATCAATTTTGATAGAGTATTAGAAAAGCTAAATGATCAGCGTTCAGTTACAAAGCTAGCGGCTAGAACCAGACTCCATGGCTGCTGGATTCCAGCCTGCTAGTCCACTCATTCCTTGTTGACTGGGAAGTTACAATATAGAGCCACCAATACAGCTAGGTTTCGACACATGAAATCAAGAGTGCTTCCAGCACCAAATGCCCAGGGTATAAAAAGTGATGATTGGTTTTACTTTAAGTAGCATCCAAGGATGGAGACTGGACTCCTTTTCATCATCTACTGCTCTACATAAACAAAGCTTAAAAAATTAAAGCACCTTTAAACATACACAAAAAGTACAAAGAACAGTATGGTGAAGTCCATGTATCCATAACCCCACTTCAACAACAATTCCATCAACAGGCTGCCAATCTTATTAAATCTGTGTTCCTCCTATATCATATCATTTCATCCATAAAAACTTCAACTTGTTTCTCTAGCAAAATCTCTCACAATACTATCATACCTAACAAAATGTAATTCTTTAATATCATCTAATATCCTTTCCAAATTCTTATTTGTCCAACTGTCTCAAAATGTCTTTTAGCAGCTGATGCTTTTTAACCATAATTCAAATAAGATCCACACGTTGCATTTGGCTGGTAAGCCTTTTAAAGTCTGTTAACAGTCCTTCATCACTGCCCATCTCCTTTTCTCACGCTATTTATTTTTGTTGAAGAAACTGGGTCATTCGTCCCATAGTTTGGATCTGGCTAATTGCACCTCTGTGGTGTCACTCAACAGGTTCCAGTATCCTGTGTTTCTTCCCACAAAAACTGACAATTAGAAGGGTTAGGGTTAGGGTTTGATTACACTCAAGTTCACTGGAGGGTCAGGGTGGTGCTGTGTGCTCCTGCTGCATCAGATCAACACGCACCGAGTGCCTGGCTGTTCCCGCTTAGTGCTGTTAGCAGTCATCACTGCGTCCAGGTGGTGTCAGCCTGTTCCATTCAGCTTTTCCTTAATGCTTTCAGCACCAGTAATGGCTGCTGGTGAGATCGACTGCTTTTCAGTTAAGAGTTGTAAAAGAGCAATTTTCTAATTTTATCATTTCTTTTGAATTTATTAACTGATATTCTTCTGTTAAGAATTTTCTATTATCAACTCGTTGGTCATGATGACATTTGGTTGTAATGGGGCAGGCTAAAGGCTTAATTCTTTCCTTTATATATCAATTTTTAGAATAATGAGTTGATGGCCTGGCAATCTCTGAAGGTGACTAATATTATTTTTTGTATCATTATGAATTCATTAAGTTAAATATATTTGATCTATTTCAATCCATGGCTGTAATTTTTCTTTCTGATGCAAATTACCCCTTTGTGACCAAAAAGAGGCCCCTTCAAGTTGGTCTGCACATCTTTTACACAGAACCTTAGCAATCTTTCAGCTTCCGTGCTTTCTGACACATGATATTCCAGGATTATCTTGTATATTTTATGCCTCAGACCTAGAGCCTGTTATTACTTCAAAGAAATGGCATTTACATGTGGTCTGTTACTCTTTAACATCTATAGGTAAAAACGTAGCCCCAATATTTAACCCAGCTTTCTTCACTGGTTTGTAAGCTCCACTGAAACAGGCATCTTTGGATTCCTACCTCCTAGCACCTAGAACTAGGTGCTGTATTTCTAGGATCTAAACCATGCCTAGTACATCGAAGTGTTCAACAAATATTTGCTGAATGGATAAAGCTCTCCCAGATTTCTTTCTGCTGATGAGATTCTCTGAGGGTACAACTGGTGAGCACCTGCCTCATTCCTACACTTTATATGCTGTAAGGTAGCTGTGACTTTTAGTCTTGGCTTCTGCTTTCTGGGATTAGCCTTAAATCCTTAAACTTTTCTCCCATCCATTTCTCATTCTTGAAATCTTAAAAAAAAATATATATATATATATAAATATATATATATATGTGTGTATACACACACACACACACTTGTCTCAACTCACTTCACTTTTTTCAATGAGACCTACACTTCTCTGCATTTCTTCTGCAGAAGCTAAGATATCAAGAAGTTCTTTTAACTCAATTATTATTTCAGAAGGAATAATTTTCAGTTCTTTCAGGTTCACTCTCATAAATTCTATTATTCTAAACTGCACACGTAATAATACTAGCCCTTTGTGCTAACCTTACCGACTTCTTATTTTCAACTTCTAAGGCTATTCTAAATATCGCTCATCTTTCAAGTGTTATGACAGGGATAAGCAGAGAGCAATTCCTACCACGAGTTAACTTGTAGACCTGATGGTCATGTTTCAATTTCCAGCCCAGTTTAGATAAAATTATTTAAAAGTATTGGCCCAACTCCTGTGGGACACCATTCAACTGAAGTCCACAGGTCAATGTTAAGTTACTAATAACAGCCCAGTGAGTGATACTTTATATCCAACAAAGTAACCAAGATCCTACATTGCAAGTTGAGCGAACAGCAGACTCAGCTGGGGCCCTTCTTACAAACACAGAAGCCCTGATCTTTCCTCTGTAAAATCTGATTCAGCAGGTCTGGGGTAGGGCTGAATTATCTGCTTTCCAAGCAACTCTGATACAGACCACAGCTTTACAATTATGTCAAACACGACAGAATTACTGCTTTCCTTATACTTATAACATGATCTGTTGGATCAAAAATGACATTAAAAATACAGGCCTGGAGTACGCTTTTCGCTTGAAATAATCAGATCATTCTGCCAGAGGCTAGACAAAACAACACAAAAGGAGAGTAAAAGAAATCTGGGTTCTAGAAATCTTATCAATTACGAAGACCCAAAGGAAAGATGTCCCCCACAAGGTGGATCACCTCGTCTTGTGCATCTTTCTTGATAAGGAAAGGGAGGTTCCTGGCTGTTGTCATGAGAATGTCAGCTGCTTGCTCTGTGGAGAGGAAAGGAAGAATACGGGCAACCATCCTCTTCCCTTTTCGGATACACATGATCTGTACAAAGTGGTCATCACTCGGCCTGCAGGGGAAGACAGTGCTAACTTAGGTCAGCAAGAACAATGTGAAAAACCCCCTTTTTCCTCTTACATGTTACTGAATGAATATACTGCATTTATTTTTGCTCTACAATAATCTGTACTATAAAACAGTGAGAATCATTTCTAACTCTCAATCAAATAATACAAAGTAATTTTTCAAGTTTCACAAGTATTAAAAATCATCATTTCAAAAACTGTGTATCAAAAAATTTGATCAAACTGTTTGTACTGATTTCCTTTATTAACTCTTCAGTAACTACACAAATGACATGGTTAATACAGCAAAATCTAAAAATAAATGTAAGAAAAAAGGACACAAATATTCATAATCTCAGAGTTAATTTATTAGTTACCATTCTGAAGATATTTTTGCTGCGTACTGGATATTTTTATCTTTCACAAAAAAGGGTCTATATATAATTCATATGGCTTTGTTACTTGACTTTTTTCACTCAACAACTTCTTGTGAACACGTTTCCATGACAATAAATATACTTTAACTACACACATTTTAATGGCGGTATAACATTCCAATCTATGGATAAACCCAAGTTTATTCAACCAGTTCCCTGTCAGCCCAACTCTGGAAAAAGCATGTTGGAAAGAAGGTGCTTTTTCTTACGTTCCGTTTTGTGTATGTCCTTGCTTAGAAGAATCACCAATTCTCTTGAATAGGCAAAGAAAAAAAGGGAGTTATGAGGAGACACAATCCTCTTGCATTCATCAAATAAGTATTTGGGATTTATAGAACATTTACCACTAGCAAAATTCTGTTCCAGAAACTGGGTGGGAGAGAGATGACAGAGACACAGAGAAGATGAAATATTAAGGAGCTTAGTCTCCACTGTACGACTGACTGGTTTCCATAGGAAATGAGTATTCTATACAAACCCCAAGGAAGGATAAACGTTTACACTTTTCTCTTAGTAGGAAAGAAAACACATGAAGATTACAAGGTTGAACATTAGCAAGCACAAACCAGGTACAATCTGTCAGCTCAACAACAGAAACGAAATAATATTCCCCCGGCATCTCCAGCACCTAGCACAGTTCCTGGTGGATACTGAATAGGTACTGGTTGAATAAATAAATTCAGAATAAATAGATTTTTTTTCTCCTGGCTGGAAGGAATTATGAAATGTTTTATGTGAAGTGGCATTTGAGTTATTAGGCCAAAATGAAAGACTTTGAGCTTACTCAGAGGGCCAGAAAGGAGATCCAAAGGGTAGAAATGTATAAAGCTCAATTTAGCAGAGGAAGGAGTTCAGCTAGTCTCATGTTTTCACCTAAGTGCACAATTCTTACCTCTCTTGTCCAGGCAATTTCCCTCTTAAGTTGTCATACATGCTACAAATTTTGTGCTTTCTTTCATCCGTCAGAGCAGGTCGCTCTTCTTCCAGACTTAGGAGGTAACGCCTTTCATAATCCTCCACGTCGAGGAGGAGACTATAGGTCTAAGTGAGAGACAAAGCAAGCTGGGTCAGGATCCCACAGTATTAGATAACACACCTCGCAGTTTAGGACTACCAGAAAAGGACAAGAAAGTGAAACTCATAAGGATGGAGAGAAAAAAAGGTGCTCTTTTGAATCCAGAAAAATACAATGAAATAACTTAAAAAATTCTTCAAACATCATTTTCTGTCCCTCCCGGACCTCTAAGCCAGAAGGCAGTGGCAGGGAAATGATTACATGCTTTCTAAATTTTCTAGCTGCAACAACAGCACCATAACACAAACAATCTGCACCACTGCTCCAAGTGATGCCTTACATCTACAGAGATGGTGACAGTTAATCCTGCTCCTGGGTGCCAGGCACTGATCTAAGCACTCTGCAAGTACTCCTTTACTGAGTGCTCACTCACCACAGCCCAGTGGGAAAGGGACTCTTACCATTTTCATTTTTACAGATGAAGAAACTGGGGACAGCAGAGAAAGGTTAAATAACTTGCCTAAACGCACAGACTCAGTGAGAAATGGAAGACATGATTCGTAGCCTGGTTCCAAAGTCTACACTCTACGGCCTGGCAACGTGGTCCTTATGCCTTATAAACTAACAGCCTATACATTACCTCATTTTCCTTAGAACCGAGGACAATGCCCAGCACCCAGCAAGTGTCCAATAAATATATGTGAACTGACTATTTAATAGACTTACTTAAATTCATGGGCAGAACAGTGTAATTTTTATTCTGTTTTCTTAGAAAGGTGGCCTGTCCTCAAACACTCAGCTGTTAACTGAACAAGCATAGACAAAACCCCAGGATGTCTAACTGTAACTGCAAAGTTCCTTCCATGAGGCCATAGGTACAAAACACCACCTTTCTTTCTAGCGTGCCCTGTACACAATAGGCACTTAATGTGAATGCATTCATTAACTAAAATCACAGAACACTGATTGTTTACTTGTCAGGCACACATACATTTAACAGTTTCTTACTCGAAACCACAGCAACATATTCTACAACTTACTTTCTCAATTATGACAAGGGTTTTTCGTCTTTTGTCCCGAACCTGTTTTTCTTTTGTCTCCTAAAAAAAAAAAAAGACTATTCAGTGTGAAATCTTCACCCATGCTAAAAGTAATTTACTAAGTGTGCATATGTAATTCCACATGTGACAATACTTTGAGAATCTTGACTCTTCGAAAGTCAGTTATCTAAAACTAATGTGGACAAAGGTCACAGAGTTGACTGAAACAACCTACATACAAACTACTGAACTGAATTCACAGATAGGCAAAAGATAACGCAGAATGCTGTAGAAGATGCACATACAGGAAAATCTTAAAACACATAGAAAGTGGTAATTTTAAAAACCGGAGCCAACAGCTGATGCTGTCTGCAGCAAGTTGCCCAGTTCAAAAACTTTTGCCACCCCTGGTCCTGCCTGGCTGCCTTAGGCATGAAGGTGTTAAAATCTTAGCACATCTGTGGAAACCCAGGAGGCGTGACATGCCAGGTGCGAAGGTCCAGGTTAGACTAAAGACAAGTCCACCACGCCTGATTCTAGTGACCCCAAAAGAAGCAGTGATGACCTTGAACACACCATCCTGTGGACACTTACATCATCCTCACTCCGAGATGTCACAACAGCATCAATCATTTTTCGGGGGTTATTCACACTAGAGACAGTAAGCTTTCCCAAAGAGCCCTCAAACTGCACTGCAAGGACAAAAAATTACAACAAATGAACACTCAGTAACGCAAGTAGGCAGTTTTTAAATGAGATCTTGAGAGTCTCTATTCTCTACTCAGAGCTAACAAGTTACTGCAAAAATGTGTATTATCTAAAGCAATTTCTTATCAAAATCCATCCTTTCCCATTTTGAGGAGTTGCCATAATAACCAAATAAAAACCTGAAGTATTCTCCCCTAAGCCATTTTAAGGATACTGGAAATTATAACAGGTTTTAAAAAGTCATGGAATCTTAGGTAGAAAAGGATCAAAAGGCCACCCGTCCAGTCATTCACTCCAGGCTTGAACAGGCTGATCTTGGCATTCGTCAAGGACAATGGGACTTTATAAATCAGTTTCAAACATCTCCATCCAACTGTCTGGACAGTCATCTTTATTTTATCCTGTCAGCAGCAGTCACACTTCTCTTTATGGGCGAGGGGACGAGGACCTTACCTGGCTTATAGGCGTGCTCCAGTCTGGCCACCTGAGGGGTAATGAGCTTGGTGCGCTCCTTTTTAGGGCCATCGCCTTGCACTTCTTCAGCAGCTGACAGTTTCTCCAGTTTTTCAAAGTAATTCTACCACAGGAGGAGATGTTTCAGTTGCAACAGGCACAGAATACAGCTGCCCCTTATCACTGAATAATTAGTTCATACCACCGGTAGTAACACTACTTGTACTCTACAAATGTACTGACTTCTAATTTTTGTCAGATTGCTATAAATTGAATCAAAAACCCCAGCCTTCAAAGTAATCATCAACAGAAATACCATTAATGTTAGACTACCAATATTCTGAATTGAAAGAACCAGATTACTGATGCCAAAGGGATTTGAAAATATTGGTCTGAGAGCTTCTGTATGTAAGAAACAAAAGGCATACATTAGACCTTCTAACGAACAGTGTGAGGTTCTCCAGCTGGAAAAGAGGACAGAATTTGCTCAGTCAATTCTTACCCACTTGAAGACGGCCTCAAAAGAAAACTCCATCAATATTTAATCCTACCAATACTTAAACGAGTGCCTTCACCAGGGTAAGGGACTAGACGATCATCCTCAAAACTGGCACAGAGTACTTACCTGGTAATAAAAGTCATCCAGGTAGGGATCAGTGCTTTGCAGTTGCATCATTTGGATTTTAGAGACCCAATCCTTCTCTCGCTGCAACATGAGATTGGCATATGGATCCTTCCGGAGATGATCCTGATGGCTGCTCCGGTGACTTCCTCTGTCTCCCGCACCATTGAGATTCCGATGCTGACTAAAAGAGATGCACATGCCACATTCACTTCCCCTGGATACGTGAATTATGCCTCGTAACAATACAAGAGTAAACCAGGCCAATTAAAAAAAAAGAAGATTCTCCTTCGCTTCTGTTAAAGATTTGAACACAGGCCAATTTGACTCCAAGTCTATATGCTTCTTAAAAATCTGCTGAAAATCATGATGTACTTCAAATATAGAGAAAAGCCCGGCAAATACTACGAAAACATCCATTGACTCATCACCTAGACTTAATGAAAAAAGGTTATTTGGTCAAATTTGCTTCAGATTCTAACAGGGAATATTAAAGCAGCAAGTGTTAGGTTTACAGCTGAAAGCCTGCTTACGTATGCCCTCCTGAATCCCAGTTTCCAGCTCCCCTTCCCTCCTACAGGAACCACTATCCTGGCCTCAGTATGCATGCTCCCTGACACGTTTTTATATCTTTATTACTTGTGCATCCACCTTTCAATATTAAACAGAACTTTTCCACATGCCTGTAAGTTTTATATAAATGGTACTGGACACACAATTCCGCTCCTTGCTTCTCACTCAGCATCATGCTTTCCGTATTTAATCATGCTGACAACATACTCAAGCATGTACTGAGAAGGAGAACTGTGATGACGTAGTGTAACCTGGTAGTGTTGATAAACTCTGTTATTTACTGCCAAATTCTCTCTCAAAAGGCTACACGTCTATTCCTGCCAGCAGTCACAGTGCTGAGACACATCAAGTTCTGCCTGTCTGATGATGCAACATGGTTATCTAATTTCAATCTGCACTCTTCTGATTACAAGTGAGCTTGAAAATCTTTTCATTTTTATGAGCCACGTAGGCTTCCTCTATTGAAAACTGCATGCTTGTGTATGATGTCTTTTGTTGCATAGAAATTCAATATATTTTTACAATTTAATAAAAAATATTTTTAAACACCTTTATTTAATGATAATTGATATACAAAGAACTGCACATATTTAATGTGTACAATTTGGTTAAGTTTGGATGTATGCAAACACTTGCGATACCATCAGCATAAACAGACATATCCAATGCCTACCAAATTTCCAACTCAGTATCATAAAACTGAAGGTTGAAGAAATCTTCTTATCTTATATATAAGAATGACTGACGGATTATAAGCTCCAAGAAGGCAGGGATTTGATATGTCTGATTCTTTCAATCCCCAAAACTGACCAGAGTGCCTGGTACACAGCTGGGGCTACATATATAAATACATATTTGAATGAAGACTAAATAATTAGAGGTAAAACTAAAGACAGGCTTTACATAAGACCCAAATGTAATGCTAGAGACTATTTCAAGATTACCTGTGAGCTGAGATGGTAAACAAAGGTAGTTAAAAGTATGGTAAGGACTTGATAAGGAGTGAGTATAAAAACGTTAATCCCTCTCAAAAAAAAAAAATCAGATCTAAACTATAGTTCAGAATTCTAGTAATTTGGAAATAAGTTGATAAGCTCTCATCATTTAAAGCTTGTGCATCAAAAATCATAAAGCAACAGCATATATGATCTGACTTCACCAATTAAAATAAACTCAATACTAATTTTAAAAAAGGTAAGCTAAATCAGCACCCAGTTACAGTGTCAAAATGGAAAGCTAAATGAAGAAACCACAAAAGAGCAGGGTAAGTACTTACTTTCTGTTCTGTTGCTGTCTCTGATGTAAGAGTCGACGGTGCTGTGGATGAAGGTGAGTTGTGTCTGGTCTAAACATTGGGGCCTGAGCTCTAAGAAAAAAGGGAAAAGATGTTCAATTCTGTTGTCCTGATGATTTGCAGTTTTAAAGAATGTTGTCAATACAGGGCGATTTCATACAGGTTCACCCAAAAGGAATGCTGAAGTCTACTCTAAGGAGATCTTCCAGAAGGAAGACAGAGCTGTATTTTTAATGTCTTCCAAAAAAGCTGATTCTCAACCCCTAACAGGACAATCATAAAATCTGAGTGAATCAGCAGTAAAGCAGTTTAATTCTTTTTCTTTTTGCTCCTAATTGTTAAACAGAAGTCTCTAAATAGATTTTAAGTACTTAGTTTTAACTACATAGGAATGACTTTAAAAATATATGTGTGATGATTAATTTTATATGTCAACTTGGCTAAGCTTCCCAGCTATTTGGACAATCACTTGTCTAGATGACGCTGTGAAGGTATTCAGTAGATGCAATTAACATTTACAATTGGTTGACTTTAAGAAAAAAACATCACCAGCGACAGTGTGGGTGGGCTTTATCCAATCAGTTGAAGGCCTTAAGAGGAAAAACAGGTTTCCCAGAGAAGGAATTCTGCCTCAAGACTGGAACACAGAAGTCGGGCCTGAGTTTCCAGCCTGCTTGCCTGCCCTACAAATTTCAGACTCAAGACTGCAACTTCAACTTATAACAGAATTTCAAACTTGCTAGCCTGCCCTATGGATTCTGGACTTGCCAGCCCCATGTGCCTTAAAGTCGAGCTCTTCTTTATTTATCTATATCCTATTGGTTCTGCTTCTCTGGAGAACCCTGACTGATACAGTATGATACGTAATAAAACATAATTTCTTTGAAGCAGGAATGTGAACCCCTGTTATAAAATGAGAGTAGAAGCAAGCAACTAGCCAGCACTGAGATTAGCTGACAACTCAGCACCTGCATCTCTGTTCCTTAGTACAAGATCATTCTTGTTATGTGATAAATACTTTGTATATATGTAAGCATCCATGTGTTTGTAAAATGGATTTAAGTGAGACATAAGAAACTTTACAAGAAATAAAAAAAGGTGATTCACTAGCAATGTGCAAATGTACAAAGGAAGCATGTGACTCAAGGGAAATGTGATTCATAAGAAAGTTGGAGACTGTCAAACATTTCTGTGTTTGGTAACTGGAGGATCAAATAACATTTCAAAATATATCACCTGCAGATATCAAGGGACTTCTATGTTGTAACACTAAATGTCAATGATCAAGAGACTTGGCTGACAATGGATAAACAGTGGCATTTGTTCCATATACCTCAGGTTTTGCAGGTGAGGTCCTGGGCCAGGGGGGTGCTGCGGAGGAGGCGGTGTAGCAGGGGGTGGAGCACTGAAGAAGGCACGGAAGCCTGGTGCTGGGGGAAGCATCTGCCCAACTCGCCCTTGCAGCAGCTTGGGATTCATGGCAGCCAGCGGACTGCCAACAAATCCAGGGACCCGTGCAAACTGGCTGGGAGACATTCGTCCAGGCTGTAGCTAGAGAGGGACAAGTTCTTAGATTTAGTTAATCAGCAGGCCCCCTTGCTTTTATCCACAGATAAACAAATACTGTTCCCATCAATAATTTTGTTCAGGAAAGTAAAAAATAAGAGGCAGCAGTGACTGATTAACAACAACAAAAGGGATATCAGCTGGTGACCCTTAGGAAAGGACGAAAGTGCCTTAGGGGTTAAGCTCTTCATGGCCTTACCTGTGCTCCTCCAAGAAGCTGTGCTCTCTGGAGGGGACTGAGAACAGGAGGAACACTAGCGGGGAAAGGGTGACCCAGTAGGGAAGAATTCTAGAAAAGAAAAAATTGTATTCATACTATGCAAACAGGTGAATCAATGTAATAGGGGAACTCAATAGAAATGCAGAATAAATTTGGCTAGAAAAATTCTCAAACTGCGGTTGAGCCACCCACTAAAGGAATATGAAGGAGAGTAACGCTAGATGCTATGAACCACAATGATCATGTAACATGAAAAAGAAAGCAACAAAATGAGGGACTGTAGTAGCAGAAAACCAGACGACTGCCTCAAGTTTGGATTTCTAAAGACAAGAGATGAGGTTGGAAACAGCTGAACAGGATGAACCACGTCTTCTGACCTGGGGACTGTAAGATCCAGAAACTTGAGTATGGAGATTGTAAATAACAGGTATAATTTGGGAGATGTCCGTATACTAGTAGTGATCACATGGTAGCAACCAGAAAGCAGGAGCTGCACACCTAACTTTCGTTAGGCTGTGAAGGGACAGACGTACCGGGACACTGCAGAGCTGGTTCGGAGACATCCTCTCACCATAGGGAGCAGGATACCGCGGTGGCATCGGGGGCCGAACATGGACAGGTTTCGGACACAGAATCTACCAGGACAAAAATATACACAACTACACTCAATGAAATGAGTTTTTCTCTCCCTGTACTCCCTCCCCTCAAGTACTGGCAGAGACACAGAACTCAATGCAAAGCCCTACATCTATGCAAACTGCTATGACTGTGGACTCACGCACAGAACCTCTGGTCACTTCCTCTCACGAGTATCAAGCAACGTGCCACCTTTGACTGGGGAAGATTTAGCTAATTCTCCAGTTATCCCCACCCTTCCATGCTATCTGAGGGAGGTGCCAGCAGATATTCTGACTTGCAAATTCTCTCCAAAAGGATAACTTTTGGTAGCAGTGAGGGAGATGGAACGATAAGAGAGCTGGAGGATTAACTAAGCCCTATTCTGAAGCCCCTGTGATATGGCCGCCATGCTCAGCTCTTCGTGATACATCATGACTCCACCACTTGAGAGGACACTGAGCCTCACTAGGCCATACCGACACCACCCTCCCCCCATACCTTCCAATTGGCCTTCCTTTTCAGCTGCTGGTTTCAGGTGGAGGAAAGTCTATGGAACAGGACTGCACAGGCTCTAGGGAAAGCAGGGACATCTTCAAGGTAAAAAGGGACGTGGACAGTGCTGTGTCCCCGCTCCCCCCGGCTTTCAGCTACCTCTCTGCCGATGTTTTGGGCAGCCAGCAGAACACTTTAAAAAGGATATTTACACTAAATGTGGCTAACTACCCTTTTCTCCCCCAATTAAAAGGCAGCAGCAACAGGAGCAGCACCAGCACAGGGCATCGGGGAATGTGTCTCTTACTTGCTCTAACTTCTCCTCTAGTTGGCTATTTTTCTTTCTAATCTAATGCCTACCCAAAACTTCCACCCTCCTCCCGGCATCACCGATTTCCCAAATAATTTTGCCCAGATTCCCAATATCCTGGGCTGAGTGCCTGTTAATGAGAGGTACCTGCTGGTTGAAGCTGGGTACAGCCATCTGCTTAGGTGGGGTGCCTATGGGGACAGCTCTAACAGGAGGACTCCCAATGACAGGCGACGTGGACCGCCTCGGTAACGCACGCTCAGAAAGGTCCCGATCATCTTCTGGGCCCTGTGCAGGCCTCTGAGGCAAGGCATATTCTAATATAGACACTGTAGGCATTTCCTAATTGAGGAAGCAGTGTTAAAAAAAATTAGCTAGCTTGAAATGTTTCAATAACCGAAACAGATGCCAAATATTTTGAGAAATTATTTTTTAAACTTTCATTTATTTTTATTTCACATCCAGTAAAATTTACCCTCTTTAGATATGTAGAACTGAATTCTGATAAATGCACAGTCATGGATCTACCACCAAAGTCAAGATACAGAAGTTTCATCACTCCCAAACTCCCGCTGTGTTGTCCCTTTCTAGTCAACCTCTTCCACCACTCCAACCGCTGGTGGACACTGATCTGTTCTCTATCCCTGTAGTTTTGCCTAAAAATGACCTTACGTCATACAAATCATAAGCTGTCAAATTTGAGTTCCAATGGCTCCCTTCCAACCAATTCAAAGGAAAGCACAGTCAAGTGAGCGTTACCACAGAGTCGGAGGGAGGCTACAACCAACAGGCACGGCTGTGGGTGCTGGGCGATGGACTCAGCCTAAGACTGGCAAACGACATTCACCTCTACGTTGCTTCAGTAAGGGCAGGGTAAAAACAGGAGCCAACTTTCAGAAACTAGGAACTCTGTATAAAGAGAAAAATTTAATACCTGAGCAAGCAGTGGTCCTCGGATTCGCCTCAGAACTTCAGATCCATCCCAGATGCTGGAATTGAGACTTCCTGGTTGGGGCTAACAGGAAAGGAAAACACATACACAAAGTCTGGAACAGTGTGGGCTCTCTGGGCAACTTCTCTGCTTTTGATGAACAGTGCCCCAAGGGAGCTTAATAGCTTAAGAATAAGAAACCATAGTGTTCTAGAACATATCTTACTTCCTAACCTCATCTCTAGACTTGCTATACCACCAGGAATTATATCACCAAATTTCGATGGGGTACATGTAATTCTCTCAGCATGGTAGATTAAATAAAATGGCAAAGCTCAATACTTCACTCTGACTGTGATTCTGCTAGAGTTCTCAAATCGCAGTGACTTACTTGCAACACTGGCCTGGTCTGCACTGCCCTCATGATAGCTGGATCTTCTAGTTCATTTTCGATCACCATCTTACTGAGCCTTTCTGCCAGATTCTCCTCATGGTCACCCAACAAGTCCATCTCATCCCTTCCTCCATTGCCTGTTTGTTCACTAACGGCCACAGGCAGCTTCTCTTCCAATTCAGCCAGGCGCTCATGGGCTTCTTGCCAGTCATCATCTATAAGGAAACCATAAAAAACAGAGTTCATGTTGGAATGAAAAAGTTTCATAAACTCTTCTGTTAACCAAATGAAGAGAGACATGAAATAAGGTTTAAACTAAGGGGCACACTTAAAGTGGGCTTTTCACTATTGAGAACAACTAACATTCCAACAGGAATAAAATTCAGGAATTTAGAGTAATAGCTTAATATATTATCAATGGTGTCCAAACCATATTCTGAAACCGATTTCTCAATTGGTGATAGATATGTACGCTATAACCTGTTGGGTGGAGATTCTGCAACATTTCAGGCAAAAACTCACTGCACGAGCACACAACTTTCTCTTAGATTATAATTGCCATCTTCTTCACAAGCTTTTAAACTCATTCAGTTCATTCAATTAATATTTGTTGAGCATCTATTACATGACAAGTATTGTTTCAGGTGCATGGGATATCTCAGTGTACAAAACACACACGGATCCTTGCCCTCCTACAATTTTCTTTTAAGCAGGGAAGAGACAGATAGCAAACAATAAACACAATGAATAAGTAAATTAGACTCTATATTAGAAGATGATATGCTACAGGAATATGGGGGAAGAGAGGCAGATTGAAAACTTTAAATAGGATGGTCAGAGGTATGTCTCACCTAGAAGGTGACATGTGAACAAAGATTCAAGAATAAGACCGTTAGCCATGTGGATACCTAGGAGAAGAGTGTCTCAGGCAGAGGGACAGTCAGTAAAAAGGCCTTACAAGCAGAGACTGACAATTTTGAGAAGCAGCAAGGACTGTGTTTGGGTTGGAATGATCAAGGGGGGAGAGCAGAAGAAAAATAAGGTCAAAATGGGGGAGCTCCTTCAGGCCCTTAGAGCCACTCGGAAATGGGGGCCGCTGGAGGTTTGGATGTGGCTTGACTTTTTGAAAGAATCACTCTGGATGCTGTGTTGAAACAAATTTTAGGGGAAAGAGGCAGCGATGTTGGAAGCATGAAGGTCTGTTAGGAGGCTTCTGCAAGTCTGCCAGGGGAAAGGTGAGGGTAACTGCGACCAGGGTCAGCTCCTGCTCTCTGTTAACTGTCTTTGCTATTCCTACACACTTACTATATAGTCTGAAGCACTGACACTAAGTTGCTTCCTAATGTTTTTTAATGCTGATTATGCATTTTTTTGAGTCCCACTACAGGACAGACGAAAATCTTCAGAACCCTTTCACCCCAAACCCACGTATTCTTTGTATATGTTACATATTTTTATTTTTACTTTAGTTTTGTTTTGTATGTCCTATAAAATTCAACAGAGAGAGATAACAGGTAATTCCCTCCATGACTAACATAGAAACACAGGATTCTGAAGAAGTGTCCTTCATGACAATCCTTCCCATATAATTTTTCTGTATGTCTCATTTAAAGGAGAAGGAAGAACTGGAAGCAAGACAAGAAAAAAAGTGCCTGGTGTATATTAAGGGTGTAATAAACAGTAGCCACTTAAAAAAAAAAGACTTAGGCTTTCTGAGGTGCTCATGTACAATTTGTTAAAATTATCTTTATTCTTTTTTCCTATTTACAAATACATATTTGTTAAAAAATTTAAAATCCCACAAATACATACCCCAGAAACTGGAAGTTCCCCATAATTCTACAGGTACGTTAAATTTTTTACAGTGCAAAAACATAATTACTATTAATAATATTATCTCATTCTTTTTCATATCTATATAAGATTCTAGTCTATTGATTAACTTACCTCTTACTGATGGAAATTTGGATTATTTGCAAATTTTTATTAATTTTTTATATTGCAGTATAGTTGATCTACAGCAGAATATTAATTTCAGGTATAATAATACTGCAATGAATATTATACATATTTTAACATCATAAGCAAATGTTTAAGTAGGCTAAGTCTCTTTCAGGGTCAGATTATAAACATTTAAAATTTGCTATTTTTTTTATTACACAACAATGTATCACATAACAATAGTGATCCAAAAAGTGAGGGAAGTGGGACTTCCAAATCTATAATTTGGTATGATCAGAACCACTGTCTAGCCTTTGGGCACTGTGGTACATTTGAATATACTACTTGTGGTAAAGGGAAAAAACCTACTTTAGATGAAAATTACAGTACTAATTTAAATCATCAGTTATTTAAAAAAAATTCTTAAAGAACAGTGTAATTAAAAATCAATTGTGACATTAATATTTGTGTCATCTTTGCTAAGGAAGTCCCGTTTTGAAGGACCAATTGTTTTTTGCAGTTTTACTGAGTCAGCAATGCTAAAAAATGGGAGTTTATAATTCTGAATTAGGGAATTTTTTTAAAACATTTATTTCCCAAATTTAAGAAATTTATTTTTTGATGGAGTGATTCTAATGCAGCAGAGTTCTAATTTGCATTGTCTTCATTCATCGCTTCTTGTACTATTTATTAACTTTACTGGATCCTATCAAAGATGAGTAATCTATTTGTCCTTTATAATTAATTTAAAAAATACTGGTTAAATAGCCATATTTTGTGAGAACGGCTCTATTGTGAACTGTTACTTTTTCAAATATGTAAGCAAAGAAACCTATGCCATAGAATACCATCATCATCATTTTAGGTATTTCTAGCTCTTGTGAAAAATCATCTGAAGCAATAATATCAGAGATCACATGCTCTTAGTATAGGAGGATACTTAACTCACCATCTTTTTCAAATGACCTAGAAATATAGTTACTTAGATATGCCAATGCTTGATCTCAACCCATACTGGTCAAAATGATAAAGGGTACGAAAAAAAAATAACAGAGATATGAAGGGAAAGAGATGCCTGTTTTCCTTCTATTAATTAACCTATACCCTGGTGTGGGTTACTGAATTCCTGGCTGCTTCTATAAACTTAAACTTGTAGTAATTTCCCTGAAGTCTGTCTCAGGGAGATTTCTGAATAAAAACAAAACGAAAAAGAAGCAGAGGTGATTTAATTTTATGGCAATCTCAGTCCCCAAAGATTCTAGTAGCTATCAAAACAAGGGAAGTAGAAAGAATAGGGAGCCCTTCCAAGTGGAGGCAGGAGATTCCCAAAGATTCCTCAAAGACTGTTTAAACTTAACTGGTAGTTCACACTGATTGCATTTATAGTTACTTAACCTCTCTGGCACTTTCCTTCTGCATTTGTTAAAATGAGGATAATAATAGTGCCTACCTCACAAGGTTGCTATGAGGGTTAAAAATATACGTAGAATATTTAGAATGGTCCCTAGCATATAATAAGCACCCCGTAAGTGTAAGCTTTTATTTTTGGAAAATGAGTTGAGATTACTGTGGCCCATTTATTGCTCAGAGATGATGCAAACACTTCTCTATGCAGAAGACAGTGACTAGTTTCTTAAGGAAAGGTGACAAGAGCATTTGTAGGCAGTGACTTTAAATAACTACTGCTCTAACAGGAATTATTTAAACATTCACTCCTTGAGTTAAAAACCATTAGGCCAAAACATATGTCATCCATCTGACATTTCACCTCCTGGTTTAAATTCTCTGTACCAGCTATTTATCTACCTGTAGAGGTATATTACACAAGTTATAGGTGGCTTAGAAAGTAATTTTCTTTTTATAAATCTGTATAGTATTTACATCAAGATGTTGTAAGAAACTAAGATCTTAACTTTACAATTTAAGTATATTATACTCTCAATGGAAAGGGCAATCTTTTCTCCATTATAAACTTTGTTGACCAAGAAGTCCTTAATCACCGTTACGCCTTAGGCTACCAAGTGGGCCAACCGTATGCTATTTCACCGCCTTTATTTTTTAACACCTTCTCTTTTACCACGTAACCTTAGGGGGCTTTTTCAATGTGTGTGTACTTTTCTCTTTTTCATCATATAAAACACAGTTCTGCACACTCTAAAATCCTTTAAAGGCAACAGTTTTCCCACCTTGTGAGAAACATGGAAACTCGGAAAAAAAAAGACCATCCGCGACACTCTGGAAGTCAGTGAGAGGGCAAGACTATTCCTCTTCTGTCCAGGCTCAAGACTGAGGACATTTACTATGTTGCCTAATCTTAATATATTCCCTTTGAACAAATTTCATTTTAATACAGACAAATTTACTAGAAAAATGGTAGCATTCAGTATAATATTTTGAGAAAAAGAGTTCAAGAAAGAAGCACACACTGTTTGAAGCTTCTATTGTATTCTATAGGTTATTACTTAAGTTTCAAATACATTTGCAATTCACATCAGTTCCCTGCTTTTGTAATTCTATTCTACGTCCCTTTCCCTGTGATCTCCATGGAGAGAGAACAGCATCTTAGCTCATGTCATCCTCTTGGACGATCTCATCTCTTAAACTATGGCAGTAATCCAAAAGGTCTTTGGTTCCCTTTTGTAGTGAGTCTCGCTTCTACCTTAAATGCTTCTCTTGCTGTTCCCAATAGCGGCAGTTTTAGCTCTCCACTGAATTTTGTAACCCTGATTGAAAATAGTATACACTTTCATTTTTGCCAAGTAATTCAACTCAGTCTAAGCTTTAATAAATCTAAACTGTTTAGGTCTGTTGCAAAACCAGTAACCGTTACAATACTTTTAAGATCTCTTATTTGTTTTTGATATTTCAACTTTTAGGATACCCTACTACTGCTAAATTTCCTCTTCTTCCTTATTACTTAACTTTAAATATTTGTTGCATATTCCAAAGAGCTCCCACATATTCACACATCCCAATATAAACACAATTACTGCTGCTTTTCAACACCAAAGTCAAAGATATTTGCATTCACCCTCACCTGTTCATTTTTTAAAAGAACAGTTTAATTTTAACTAATTAGTATACTTGTTCTAGGATCCCTAATTCTCGATCTTTATCATGTAAGATGGCTCCCTAAATCTCCTATCTCTAATTATAACTCTGTGGCCTCTAGTTTAGTGTGGATCTTAAATTTTTTAAACTTTTCCAACTCTCAGAATATTTATTTATATCCAGGGATGAGAAAATTTCATCTGTGCATAGCACTTTTCTAACTCATGAAGACTTTCTATCACCAAAATTCTCGGAATAAAAAACTTTATTCTACTGAATATACTATATGACAAGAGCTGGGTCATGCAACATACTATTGATCAACTGAATTTTAAAACATACATATCTGAATCTAAGCTTTTTCCTAGTCCATTAGTTTTCCTTAAGTTACATGTTCCACAAATAAAAATATTCCTCTTTTAGAATTCTTTCAAGCCTTTGTAAAATGTCTACTTCCCTAACCATCTGAATTCCTATAGTATCAACTTAGAGCCATAGATCACAAAGTTGGAAGGGTCAAGGCTTGGAAAACACTTGGTTTTAAAAGTGAAGCAAAAAGAGGCCAGAGGAACAGGGTAGGTGTTTTGAGTGAAGACTAGACTATTCTTTTTTGGGGGTCGGGGAGGGGTAATTAGGCTTATTTATTTATTTATTTGTTTGTTTATCTTAATGGAAGTACTGGGGATTGAACCCAGGACCTCACACATCCTAGGCAGGCACTCTACCACTGAGCTATACTCTCCCCCGCAAGACTAAACTATTCTGACTGAGACCAAGAACAGAACGGTTTTGCCAACTTTGTGAACAAGGTTATTTCTAAGACAAAAGCACTTAAGAAAGAAGTATTTGAAAAGAGCAAGAGACCAAGATGACATCTGAAAAGAAATATGTCACTTACCAACTGCACCTGACCCAAATGTATCGTCGTTGAATTGATCGATCTCTTCATCTTCCTCTCCCAGGCCCTGAAATGCATCTTCATCTTCATCCAGAGGACAATCCTCCAAAGACTAAAACAAAGGGAAAGAGGTTATTAGCTACTTATGAAGTTCACAATCTCATTTTTTAAATGTTCTAAAAATATTCTTACCGTCCCAGTCAACACAATAGCTTTATTATGACTTTTTGTAAAGATGGCATTTTTTCCATCCCCCAATTTCTCTGACATTGGAAGATTTTGGTATCTTTTGAGTTTTTCTAGCCTATCCTATTTCAGTTAACTTTCCCCCACCCCAAACTTTCATTTCTCTCTTTATCAAGAGACTAATAATAGCATTTCCTTATGCAACCAAGAAATTAGGTCTGCAACTTCCTTTCCATCATTGGTTAGAATAGTAATGGCAACTGAAAAATGAACACTTTACTATTTTGGCTCGAGTTTTATATGTATTTTTCAATGAAATTCTCATCTTCCCCATATTCATGTCATCTTTCCAACTATTTTATTATTCCCTTTTAAAGCTTTCTTTTCACTTTTCATTCTTCTTCCCTTCTGTTTTCCTATGGGCCTAAACTCTGGTGACAAAACAGAAAGCTAAGTTTTCAATCACAATTAAGTGAATTCTCAAAAAGCTGTGCTGTGGCCAGTTCAAGTTCTGGCTCTACTCTTACAAGTGGTGCCAACCTAGGCAAGTCACATTTTTTCTGATTAATTCATTAAATACCCCTTGAGCATCTCAAGCTCTATGTTAGGCTCTAAACCACGGCCTCTTAAGTGGTAATGCAGGGACAATACCACCTACCTTGGAGAGCTGTTGTAAGGATCAAATGAGGCAAATATTTAGGCAGTGTGTATTGCTCAACAATGCTAGGTATCACCATAACAATTTAGGTGTTTTCTATTTTAAATATGCTCTCCCTTCCATCTCAGTTTTAATCTGATTTATTTTCCCAGTTTTCTTGTCTTTTGCCAACTTTGCCTAAGGCATCTCATCACCTCTCTCCATGTATATATAAAGTCAGTTTAATCATGGGCCATCCCTATCAAATATCAAGTATATGTGTCCCCAGTTTTCAAAGACAGAATAGGAATTCCACACCCTCTTTGCAGGCATATTTGTGATGTATCTTGCCTGGCTACCTCTTAGCTAGGCTGTTCCCAAAGGAAAGGTTAGGCCAAAGGGCCATTCTACCCATCTGAAGTCCTCCCAAACTCATAAAGCAAGCATGCAACTACTTTCACATCAGAGGCAACTTTCAAAAGCACTCCCAAATCACAAATATCTACTTAATCAAAGCACTGCGTTTTAAATTAGAAAGATTCTTAGGGATCATCTAGACAAACCCTTTAATTCTATAAATCCAGAAACTATGTCCGGTGATTAGGAGTCGCTAAAGGTCATACAGCGAACTAGTGACGACGTCAGGGCTCTCGACTGTTGCTACATCCCCGGGACCGGCACCAAAACCACGTCTCCCTCCACTTGCCCAGAACAACTTCTGCTGGACACGCCCCCTCCCAACTCGGAGGCCTCTTTAGTAAACAGTCTTCGGCCCCAGTCAAAGGGCAAGCCCAGGCCCCCGTGACCCGATGGTTGTCTGTGTGGAGGGGGTGTGTGTAAGTAATTGGAGGGGAGGTGGTTTCGGGTCCAGGGCGGGAAACACGTTTCTGGGCTCTCACGGGTGACTCTTCCTCGAGAGACACCAGGTGGGTGCAATGCTCTGCACTCCGCTATCCTCCAGGGGTGTGGGGGGTGGTCTGGTTACAGCACTTAACGGCCCTCCCTACCCCAAAACAGAGGTTAGCTCTCCCCAGCAGCAAATGATAAACCAGTCCCGCCCCCCCCTCTCGAAACCT